AAGACCAGGTCCCAACCGCCAGGTCCAGCGGTCACACGGAAGTTCTGCAAACAGAAGATGGGTGGAAACAATGGAAACCGTCAACGCAACAGAAAGTTCTAGAAGCTTAAATGTACACGTGCCAAAGACTCAGTAGGTCTTGGCCATGGTTGGTAACTCAGATAAAGAGATGGGCGTTTGTAAATGTGTCTCTGCCCCTCTTTCTCTGTGTCCCTCCCTTTCTCTTTGTCTCTCCAGCTGTGTCTCTCCATCTCTCTCCTCTCTCTCTCTCTTTGACAAAGGCGTTTTAATTCAAATACCTGCACAGATAAATCCGTTTCCGATGTATCCCTCGGTGCAGTTACACATGAATGACCCTGGTAGGTTGGTGCAGACCGCCCACTGGTGACAGGGTGAGGTAGGAGCACACTCGTTGATATCTGTCGAAGGCAGCCAGGAGGCAAACAATATATCAGGCAAATGCATTCTTTCTTTATCTGTATCCATTCTATTCTATGTGCTTTCGCCTCTTTGAATGCTTTCTTGCCGAATTTTCTACATGGAAGGGATTGTTACATCCAATAGGAGCTAGAGCAGGATGGATGTCAAGCTACTCAATTCAATTCTTTATTATTATACCAACATAGCAGACATACAGTATATACTTATAATTATATAATGCCTGAATGACATTGGTATTTACAATCAATACATTAAAAACACATAACATTAAATTGCATTACATACATATATGCATGAATATATACATATTAATGATATGAACCGTACATCCCAGGCCTAACAAGTTCTGATTATACAGTCTGATTGTAGAGTCTGATGGACTGATGTAGGAAAGAGTTCTGAAGTCTTATTGCAATGGAGTTTTACTTTTAGATCAAGTAATGCACAATTATTAATGTGTAGGTCATCGGCTGCAAGTAGCAAGTACATTGGTTACCTTAAGCCCAGACGAGCCCAGTTCGGGACATTGCAATACCAAAAATGATAGTCGTAAAATGTCATCCAAGTTGTGAAACAGGACATAAATCTTTCTCTTTGCTTTTTAATCTATCTCTGTCTGTCTCTCTGTCTATCTGCCTGCCTCTCTCTCACTCCCTCTCATGTTCTTGCAGTATTCGATTGGTTTAAACAAACCTCTGCAGGTGAATCCATCTCCAGAGTATCCACTGAAGCAGTTACACCGAAATGAGCCGATAGTATTGGTACATGTAGCCAGACTATGGCACATATTCAGTCTGCACTCATTGATGTCTATAAAAAATGAGGGAAAACAATGCTTCCTAAGTTATACACTAAGAGAAATGTGAAGGATATTAGTTATCAGAAGGAAATTAAAAAAAACTGGCAATATGTGACACAAGAAGCATTAATCCTATTCCCATTATTGCAATAGATATAGCGATGAATAAATGTTCGCACCAAGTTCATACGTTCAAAATGATTTCATCTGCGACTTTACGGATTAAATGAATTGATTCAAAATCCCCCAATTACTATTCCTTAACAATTAAAAAAATTATAGAAATTATTGCAATTATTGTAAGGACTGCGATGTCTAATCCTTGACTACACATAGTATCCATCAGAATCCTTTGTAGGCTAAATGAATAGCTTAAATCGGCCTATAATATTGTCCGGTCATAGTAGGAAAAATTGGCCTATGTCCAAATATGGCCTGCTTTTTAGGCCGATTTCGACTATCTATTCAACCTGCAAAGGAGTCTGGTGGCGAATAGATTAGATCTACGTACTTATATACGCGGAGACTATCCAGGACCGAGCCTGATCTTAACCCTAACCCTAACCCGAACACTATACAGGCACAGGACTAGATAGACACGGTTCTGGACACGATAGATACCTGTACACGTCGGGACGGGCTCGCTCCACGTCCGGTCAGCCCTGCAGGTAGCACTGGGTTCTCCGTTCAACTCGAACCCCGTGTTACAAGTAAACCGCACCACGTCCTGGTACGAATTGCGGCCGATAGGATTCACGACTCCATTCGCCGGATGGGTCAACAGCGGGCACTGAACAGCTGTAGTAGCAACGTAGCAGTCTCATTTAGGTTAATGCTTTGTCTACTATAATATGATTGAAGAGGGCTCATTTTCAAACACATCTATCACAATCTATAGTGAATGTATGTCCTGTAGCTTGTATGTAGACCTAGGTAAAGTGGTATACCTTTTTTTGTCCAAGCGTTGCCCCAACCTTTAAAAAACTAGTGTAGAATTGACGTTTGGCAATGAAAGGGGACCATGGCTTGACACCCCGTCCTTAGGACTGAGACTTTTTACTGGCGTGCTTATCGTGTGAACGATGGCGCTCGCAGTCGGGATTCAAACTCGCAACCACTTCGTCTAGAGGCTAAGCTAAGCGATCTAGTGTGCACGTTCCTATTGATGGGGTTTTGAATCACCTCTGCATGTTGGAACAGTATTGCTCCAAGTGCTGTCAAACTGGCAGATGGCACTGGCGAAGCCGACCCTCTCGTACCCCAGGTTACAGTTGAACGTAACCACAGTCTGATAGGAGTTCGCTCCGGTACTCAGCGATCCGTTGTCTGGGGCGCTCAGAATCGGACATTGTACGGCTGAAACGACAAAAATCTCCGTTATGCCAATGTTTAATTGACATATTGTACAGATTTCATTTTACATGTAGGTTATCTTACGTCTACATGTTGGCCTGGCGCTCCATGTCCCGTCAGCTTGGCACGTCACATCAGCGGCGCCGGTCAGTACATATCCCTGGACGCAGGTGAACCTGACCACGGTGTTGTAAGCAGTCACGCCGGCAGGACTCAGCGCTCCGTTAGCTGGGGCCGTCAACAGCGGGCATTGTACCACTGAAAACATAGAAAGATATCAATGAAAAAAAAACACGGAAATGTTTAAGACGCTAGCTTAAGAATTGACAAAGGTTTTTCACCTGGTGTTTCAACTGGGATGAAACCGTTTCAATTTGGCAGATGTGAATTTGGTGATATATTGTATATAACAAATAGCCAATTGCAACTTGATGGTATTATGCCAGAGATCTCAAAATTCATAACTATTGGCTGTCACTAGCAGGTCATGTATACATGTTATTCGCAAGGAGGTGATGGCTGATTTTGTCCGTCAATTCTTTGGAAACCGGATGAAAGTCATAGAAGTGCCCGTCCCTCTTTGACACGAAGGTATTCGAGGAGGTTGGTCTTCAGGACGAAGAGCTTCGTTCTGTCACGCTATCAAGAAACTGGTGACGAATGACTGAGGACGAACTCATTTGTAATTTCCATATGTACCTGTACATGTCGGAACATTTGCACTCCATGTCTGGTCGGCTTGGCAGGTAGCACGGGATGCTCCGTTCAGCTGGTAACCCACGTTGCACCTGAAGTCCACCCCGTTCTGATAGGAGATGGGGCCGGTAGGACTCAATACTCCATTTGCTGGAGCTGTTAATTGTTGGCATTGTACAGCTGGAGTAAGAAGAATACATTTGGGTCACTGGTGAAATCAATGCCAAAGGAGAACTACATGTATAATATCCCGTACGTACACAATGTATCTAGGCCATCATCTAATGCTGTTGGACGATGTGTTCAGGTTACCCTGCGCGGTCACATTCGTCGTAGGTCGTCGTACGATTTTGATTTTGAAGTTTAAGGCAATCACTTCTGTCATTCGGTTCGGCTATGAGACAGCCGATCGCCGACAAGGATCTAATAGACTTTTCTGTAACAAGACAGCTGAATCTTGTACGTCAAGTACACATGAACGGCTATCCCCCAAAATATTCCAAAATGCCTTCAGTTTGCTATCGTGCAAATGTGACCATACCTTACGTTTCAACTGAATTGAACTCACGTATGCAAGTTGCAACAGCATTACTCCATGTTCCGTCGGCTTGACACGTCGCACTAGAGGCTCCCTGTCGCTCGTATCCCTGGTTACAGGTGAACGTGACCACGTTCGTGTACGAGTTCGCTCCGGCAGGACTCAGAGCTCCGTTAGCTGGAGCCGTCAACGCCAGACATCTGACAACTGAACCGACAGAGAACAAAAGAAATATGAGGAAAACATTTTGGTACCTTGGCCACACCAATTGCAAACATTTAACCCAAATATCTTTCTAAAATATGTGCCAGATGTTATTTTTATCTTTGACAGAATCTTTGACAGATGTTGATTTCGTACCTGTACACGTTGGAGCAGTATTACTCCATGTTCCGTCAGCTCGACACGTCAACACATCTGAGGGTCCGTTCAGTTGGTATCCCGTGTCACACGTGAAGGTGACCGCGTCGTTATAGGAGGTCGCTCCGGAAGGACTCAGCGCTCCGTTCACAGGGGCGGATAATAGTGGACATTGTACGACTAGAAACATTCAATCATATTAATAAATAAAAGATTCGAATCTTCTAAATATGGTTATATAGTTAAAAAGTTTCAAAATATCGAACAAATTTTGTTTACATGTCACAAATTCCAGACTTTTGCCTCTTGAACACTAGCCGCTAGCCGAATGCCCCCCAAAATGGTTAGGAGTAGGTAAGAGCAAATCTCAAATGTTTACAACATTCAGGGGGCTGGTCGGGAGGTTCGGTTGTCTGGTGTTCGGCTGTAAGTTCGCAGAACACCGGCCAACCATCCGGGAGTACATTTAAGTCGGGGTGTGTTTGGTCAAATCTGACTCAGATTTACCTTAAAGTCGTTTCGATTCGTATAGAAAAGTTGTTGTGACTTAAATCTGGTTAGACTGCTCCGAACGTCAGCCTTGGTCGGCTTTGTTCGGGGGCAAGGTCCTGAATGTGTGACTGGGGCTTTAAAAGGTGAGAGTTTGATTATTCATGTACGTACCTCTGCAAGTTGGGGGTGTCTCACTCCATGTTTGGTCAGCTCGGCAAGTAGCACTGGCGGCTCCAACCAGCTCGTAACCTTGGTTACAGGTGAACAGCACCGTGACTTGATATGAAGTTGCGCCAGCCGGACTCAATCCACCATTTACAGGGGCTGTCAAGGGCTGACACTGCACCGCTGGATTGACAAGATAGTCTTGATTAACTACGTGAAAAGTGTAACGTTTGAGGGTTTTTTCTTATAATAAATACCTCAATTGTAATCAAGTGTTCCTAGAGAATTAACATGCATTGGATGAAAAACAACCTTTATTGTACATGTATACTGACTGGGTGAAGTACAGTTTGCAACAAAATACTTGTACGCATTGTCAAGTAATTTGTTGCGACTAGTAGTTTAAGAAAGCCAAAGGACGTTGATAATTTAATCAGATTGGCAAATGACTCAATAGCAAAGTTAAGGGAAGTTGGTCCGCGCGATCCAACTGGCATATTTGTTCATTAAATTCTACTCTTTTCTTTAGAGGCTAGCGCAGTGAACAAGTCATATGTAATTGCCCGGATGAAGATGACAGACTTTCATCGAAGCGTCGGCTATTCGTCGGCTTCAACATGTAATAAATGTTGAAATGTTGCAAATAAAGTCAAATTTTGCCATAAAGTCAACATACGATTGCATGTTGGAATGGCGGCGCTCCATGAGCGATCGGCCTGGCACGTGATGGTGGAGACGCCGCTAGACTGGTACCCCGCGTCGCAGGTCAGCGTCACCGTGTTCTGGTAGGAGTTCGATCCGGAAGGACTAAGTACACCGTTTGCTGGGTTCGTCAACGTCGGGCACGTTACAGCTGAAACGACAAAAAATCTTCATCAACCCTGCCTGAGCCGTCTCTCGGCCACTTTTACTTCACTCCTGACGTCATCTAATCTCCATATTTCGGTGGCCGCTAAGGCATCACTGTACATTTGTATTTTCTTTCTTATGTTGTCTGCAATTAGCCCTCGGGCATGTATTTGCAATAAACTTTCATTATTATTATCAAATTGGCCAGCTGTATCCATTTGCCAGACATTTACCATTTCGCTACCGAAATGATATAACTGTCTGGCAAATGAATTCCTGGTGTTTCCTTTGTGTTGAGGTTCAAATTGTATGGATTCCATTCCAGATCTACAAACACAGATAAGCTTTCATTCGAATATTAGCAGAGTATCTTTTACAAACCTTTCTTGTCAGTGGTATATTGTGGGCCATTTCTTGTACAAGGACACAGTGACAGGATGTCTTTACCTGTACACGTTGGGACGTCCCGACTCCACGTTCCGTCAGCTTGGCACGTCGCATCAGCAGCGCCGTTCCGGTCGTACCCGGTGTTACAGGTGAAGGTGACCACGGTCAGGTAGGAAGTCGCTCCGGTAGGACTCAGTGCTCCGTTTGTCGGGGCAACTAATGTTGGGCATTGTACAACTAAAATAGAGAATAATACTGATGAAGATAACATGCGAATATTCTTGAACATTGGTAATATTTTGCATGTTTAGTGTAGCTGTGACCTGTGAACACTTCGTGCGGATGTTTTAAAACATTAGCGGAGACTGGCGCGGGCGAAGAGTGGCCGACCTGACCGAAATCAGTCGACCTTGCTCCAGGCCTACTCGCAATCATTGTTGGGGAAGTTCGGCAGTCTTGGGTCGGGAAGCCAAATTCTATGTGCGACATGGGCTTAACATAGGATATGGGTGATAGAGTACAATGGACGACGCTTTCCAGATTGGGTCTCGGCTAAGTACGGCTATTTACCATTGCAGGCTGGGACCGGGTCGCTCCACGTGCCGTTAGCCTGGCAGGTACTGCTGGGGGCACCGACACGACTGTAGCCCGCGTTACAGATGAACTGCACCTGGTCCTGGTATGACGCTGCGCCGGTTGGACTCACTATTCCGTTTGCTGGAGCCGCTAGAGTCGGACACGGCACCGCTGGAGAAACAACAGCGTCGGTTATGAAACAAGTTTGAACTGTAATATCCAACACAAAAATTGGACTCACCCAAATTTTTGACTGTACAACTCCAGTCTTTGCCAAGGAATGAGCAATCCACCGCTTCCGTGACGTCACGCAGATCAGGGCAACCATCCCCAAACAGAGACGGGGACGCCACGGACTTTCTGCAACCTATGATCCACTGCTCACGGAGTCACTTAGTGGATTGTTTCATAATGACTTACAGATGAACTTTAAGATAACAGCGTCGGTTGAGTACGCTTACTGGCCAACATCAAATGCGTAATGCCATACTAAGTAACTAAACGAAATATTTAAATGAAATAAAATATTGCAAACAACGCGACCACATACGTCGAAGGCCACCGTGCGATTTTGATGTAGACGAATTTTCATCAAGCAGGCTATGACAGAACCAGGCACCAACAAATTAATATGGCATTCTTTTCGGTAACAAGACAGCTAAAAGCGTGTAACTAAAAATTGTCCTCGTGTCCAAAGAGAGATAATTCATTAACTACTGAGATCACTTAAGCTGGCGTGTGTGCGGTACTTTCATTGATATCAGGGTTAAAAGTATCTTACGTTGGCATGTTGGAATAGCAGAACTCCATGTTAAGCCAGCCTGACACGTCGTACTAGAGTCTCCGACCAGTTGGTATCCCAAGTTGCAGGTGAAGGTGACCACAGTCTGGTAGGCGGTCGTACCGGTAGGACTAAGTCCTCCGTTAGCTGGGGCCGCTAGTGTCGGACACTGTCCAACTGGAATTGGGAAATACGATGATACAGAAAATCATGAATTACATACCTGTACAAGCAAGAAAGCAATGCTTGTCATCCAATATATATCAAGATACCGTTTGAAACATTAGAAAAAAGAGCAGAGAAATGTCATCAGGTTTTACACACAAAAGACAATTCTTGGACACTTTTCGCATGAATCAATCCCAGGACGTCTTACGTATGCAGGATGGAACAGAATTGCTCCACATTCCGTCCGCCTGACATGTCAGTCTGGAGGCGCCGCTCAGTCCGTACCCTTGATTACACGTGAAGGTGACCTGGTTCTGGTAGAAGTGCGGCCCGGCAGGATTCAGCCCGCCATTAGCCGGAGTCGTCAGCGTTGGACATTGTACAGCTGTAAAAATAGAAACAGTTTAGGAGCATAGCTTTTGCTAGGAAAGAGGGCTTGTGAAATGATTAACACACACTAAAACGTTGTGGAGATCTTACTTGACATATTTGTTTCCTCTTTACCTTGACATGGTCGGACAGGGTTGCTCCACGTTTGGTCCGCCTGGCAGGTGGTACTAGCAGGACCATTCACCTCGTACCCCTGGTTACAGATGAACTGCACTACGTCCTGGTATGATGTGGCTCCCGAAGGACTCAATACTCCGTTTGCCAGAGCCCCCAATAGCGGACACTGTACACCTAGTATATATAGATGGCACATAGTCAACAGGGCGGCAAACAGTTACTTGTACCATATACGACGTGTTTGTTCGAAAATTGTGAAGGAAAATGTTAAGAATAGCATTTTGGCATTTTTCTAGTGATGTTATCTTACGGTCACATGTTGGAACAGGAGCACTCCATATCAGATTAGCCTGGCACGTCACACTAGAGGCTCCGTTCCGTTCGTATCCCGGGTTACAGGTGAACGTCACCACGTTCTGGAAAGAGGTCGCTCCCACAGGGCTTAGAGCTCCGTTAGTTGGGGGCGTCAACGTCGAACATTGCCCAGCTGAAATCATAATATGATGTTCAAAGTTCAGTCGACATTTGCTCGCCAAAATTAATATTCAAACATTGCAGAAGGAGTCATCATCTCGTAATTAATGCCTTTCCCCACCTACTGCACGCGTATGATAGACATTTCTCCTGTAATATCATGCAGTTTTAAACTTATCGTACGTTGGCACGTTGGCGGAAGACTGCTCCATGTTCCGTCAGCTCGGCAGGTCAGGGTAGCTACCCCGGATAGACCGTATCCCGAGTCACAGCTGAAAGTGACTCCGTTCGGGTAGGAGACCGCCCCGGTAGGACTCACCGCTCCGTTAGCTGGGGCCGTTAGATTGGGGCACTGTACAGCTGAAATGACAAAAAAAAAACAATGTTAGCAAAGAACATTTCTTCATACCGGGAGTATTGTATTGTTGTATCCATAACCGTGCTTTCTTCGGAACCATACTCAGGCACGGATCTGGATAGATATAGCATGTTCCCCTACGGCAACAGACATGCATATAGCAGAATGATGAAGACAGGAAATAGGTTAACCTTTTCTGGAACCATTGAACTAGCTTTCTGTGCATACTACCCTAACGCGCCTAACATGTGGGAGTACGGAAACACAGGCAAACATACAAACAGACCCACCGTAAACAAAACCGCCGTATATGGAGGTGATTAACGTATATGGTGGGAAAGCAGTCTCCTTTGCAGGCGTTCCGGGCGCGGTCGTATGTTTATTTGTATGCATGCAACTTGCACGATTTTCTGATCAGACGTAGATCGCACGCTTTAGAATCTCCGGCCGCCAACCTTACAATGCCATCCCTAGAACGTTAATTGGCCTTTGAAGATAGCGAAATAAATCAGGCGCTCCAGGGATGATATTCTAGGGTTGGCGGCCGGAGTGATGGGAAAGAAGCTGGTGGAAAAGAGCTCGAGGGACGACTGAATGATGAAAGTAAGGTTTACTTACGGATGCATGTGGGGATAGGACCAGTATAAAAACCACTCTGTAGGCAGGTAATGGTGCTTTGGCCGTCCAGACTGTACCCCGGGTTACAGGTGAACGTGACCACGGTCTGGGGGGAGATCAATCCGGTATGACTCAGCGCTCCGTTAGTTGGGGCCGGCAGGGCAGGGCATCGTACAGCTGGTAACAAAACATACAAATGACAACAATTCACCTGTATGCTGGAAAATGACAGCTATCCTGTTTCCACCACACAGTATATATATATATTGCATTGGCGGTCACACTACATCAGATAGAAATTAAACACATTAGACACACTTTTAATCATTATTTCTGCTTTTATTTTCAACATTTTGTGAATGTCCATGTATTTCAAAATAAAAAGAAAGAAAGAAAAGATGGTGAAGGAAAACAATGCTGTTCTGTACAGTGATATTCCAAACAGTGTGGATAGTACAAAATGTATGTAAGTATACACATGTATATAACCAGGACACATAAAAGAACTGGTACAGGCGTAGTACCCACCGTCACAGATCGACTGTCGTACAGATGCGGCGCGGTTGTCATCCGTAAGGAAGTCGTAGCTCGTCAGCCTGAACACCCGGGTAGGATCGCCCGCAATGGTCTGAAGAGTATCCTGGCTGACGTCCGCCTCCTCGCCCACACCCACAGCAAATATGGAGACGAGCAACCGGCGTAAGTACTGCGATGTAGCGTTGACGTCATCTGTAGAGTTACCGTCGGTCAATACGACTAGCATGTTTTTCCGTTGGCCAAATGCCATGAGAAAGGAATTGTTGCTCACGTGTTCAAGACCACGTCCTGTAAAGGTGCTGATGCCGCTTTCGTACGGGATATTTCGGATCGCAGTCAAGGCTTCGACTCGGGTGTAATTTTCGTTGAGCCTGATGCGAATAACCTGCTCGTCAAAGTCGTTGTACGTAACGACACCAACCCTTGTGTCGTTTTCTCCGAGGGTAAAATAGTTGGCAACGTTCTGGACAAACGTCTTTGCATTCTCGAAACGGTTCGCCCCCCAACTGGAGCTGCTGTCTACGAGGAAGACCAGGTCTACTGCATAAGGACACGTGTTGGCTGGAAAAAAAAGACGAAACCTTTTTTATCACTGAAATCTGGGAACAGAAAGCAATAAACGCTTGCTATAACTGATGGCTACAGTTTACCTCAGCTGTGGATCACACTTGATGAGAGTAAAATAAATAATCGGGCTCAGATAGTACTGCAATTAAGAACTGGAAGGATGATTTGCAAGATCCCTAACATCAGAAGAATGTATTTTCCAAACGTCTTGTTTATTGAATAACACCTATCACGTCTGTCTATTTTCAGGAACTGTTGTACTGAAGTGTTATGGGTGTCATCAAGCATTGTTCAAAGCACTCACCTAGTGGGGTTGGAATTGTGAATCGGCAGGTTGGGGCAACATTATTCCACGTTCCGTCAGCTCGACAAGCCAGCCTGTCGACTCCGACTAGCCTGTACCCCGGGTCACAGGTAAACGTCACTTCATTCGGGTAGGAGACTGCTCCGGTAGGACTCAGTCCTCCATTAGCTGGGGCCGTCAGCGCCGGACATTGCACACCTGAAAATGGTAATTATCTTCCGTGAATAGTTTCAACAGATTATTTAATCAATGGATAACATAGCTTTTAAGTGTTCATACCTATCTCATGGCTAACTGCTAACTATGGTCTCAAGAACGAATCGGGATCGGAGGCCATGGTCAGCTTCATGTGAAAGGGGCGTTAGCTACTAGTATATTAGGGCAGATCGGATGTACGTGCCGTCCTCATGTGTCAGTCAAGGTCGAGCCTGGCCTCCCCTTTTTGTAGATCGACTGGCAAGGATATGGTATTGCTGTCAAATGTGTGGTATTGATTTGCCAACTTACCAGTGCACGTGGGAACAGGATTACTCCATGTTCCGTCAGCCCGACACGTCACTGCAGTTGCTCCGTTCAGAGTGTATCCCGAGTTACAGGTGAATGTCACCACGTCCTGGTAGGAGTTCGCTGCGGCAGGACTCAGAGCTCCATTTGATGGAGCCGTCAGAGTCGAACATTGTATTCCTATAAAAAGGTAAAATGTCATTTTATAAAACTAGGGACATGATAACGGAAAAAGCAACAATCCACGTTCCTAGCGAAAATAACGTCCTGTACTACAAGTCTTAAGGCCTGTTTAGTCATAATAGTTTCTTTCTTGTATTGGCTATTGCAAAATATAAGTGTATAAATTACATTTTCATCAGTAAAAATGTAATCTTAGGTCTGCATGATTAAAAAGAATTACACCTCTCTCTATGGTTTACTCACTACAATTTGACGGAATCTGCTAACATAGATCAAATAAAAGGTCTTCTTACGTGTGCACGTTGGAACAGAGCCACTCCATGTTCCGTCATCTTGGCACGTCGCAGTAGCAGCACCTGTCCGCACGTATCCCGAGTTACAGGTGAACCCAACCACGGTCAGGTAGGAGGTCGATGTGGTGCTGAGAACCCCGTTAGTTGGGGCCGTCAGAGGCGGACATTGTCTGGCTGAAATTGTAAATAACATTTTGCTAAGGGGATCCATCTATGTACTTAAGATGCACAAAGCGACGCTTGTAAATCTAAAAATTCGCGCGTTTTCTATTTCTATACATCTGTTTAAAGTGTATATACTAAAATGCGATAGAAATTGCTAACACTGTCATCAACTTGACAAGGTATGAACTTGAAAGCCATCTTACGTGGACATGTTGGAACAGGATTACTCCATGTTCCGTCAGCTCGGCACGTCACAGAAGCTGCGCCGTTCAGTACATATCCCGAGTTACAGGTAAAGGTGACCACGTCCTGGTAGTTGGTTGCCCCGGGAGGATTCAGCGCCCCGTTCGTTGGTGGAGTCAACGTAAGGCATTGTCCGACTGAAATACCGAAAAGATGTCTCCTAGGAATTTTCACAGACGCCTCCATATCAAATTCCAATCGTCATTACCTTCGCCAAGAAGGTTATGTTTTCAGTAGCGTTTGTCTGTGTGTTTGTGTGTGTGTGTGTTTGTGGTTTAGCAAGATAACTCGAGAAGCAGTGGATGGATTGGAATGAAACTTGGTAGGTGGGTAGGTCTTCATGAGACCTAGAAATGATTAGATTTTGGGCCCCCTGGCGGCTTTTCTAGGTACTGCAGCTGAACTTCCGGTTTTGATATCTCATGTTTTGGACATGCTAGGGTCACGAATTTTGGTTGGTAGATAGCTCTTGGGGTATGGCAGAAGTGACATGAGTTTGGGTCCCCTAGCGCCTTGTTCTGGAACTGCAGGAGCATTTGTTGAAAAAAATTTGAAGGACGATAACTCAACCGGTTGACGTATTGTCGTGATTTTTGGTATGTAGGTAGTTGAAGTGATGCTTGACATAATCAGATGGCAATTATGCAAATCAGGAGCTAATTTGCATAATTAATGAGGAAATTCTATAAATCTGCTTTGTTCGATAATAGAACCATGAAACACTTGTGACATCTACTTGAGAACGAGAAAAACATCTGAAGATATAGATTATGTAAATACGGACCTAATTTGCATAATTAATGGCAAATTCTTATAATTCCATAGTTGTAACTGCTGCATCCCGAATTTCATACTTGCCACATTTGGAAGTTAAGTGAAGGTGAACATTAATAAACATAATTTATTCAAATCATGACCTCATTTGCATAATTTATGAGGAAGTGCTATAATAGCCTTTTTGTTATGATAAGGCTGTCATTGGATGGAGAATATGATCAACTGACATAATCCATGTAAATGAGGCTCTTATTTACAAAATCAATGATTAAAATTGTATAAATCGTCACCCGCAAGGGTTAACATCATTTGGCGAAGGTATGAGATCGTAGAACTCTTGTTACATATGTAAAACACATTTCTCCTTATAGCTATCTAATGTGCATGTGTGTATGTACATTGCATTTCTACAGATGATTCCTTCAATCGGTAACTTTCAAAACCGTCTTACGTTCGCATGTCGGAACAGAACTACTCCATGTCCCGTCAGCTCGACACGTCACACTAGTGGCCCCGTTCCGTCGGTACCCCGTGTTACAGCTGAAGGTGACCACGTCCTGGTAGCTGTATGGTCCGGCAGGACTCAGCCCTCCGTCGGTTGGGGCCGTCAAGGCTGGACACTGTACGCCTAAAGGGATGAAAGAGTAGTCTTGCTCACTAATTGTCATCAAGCCTCATTCGTCGACGCGAACGTCTGCATGTCAACTTTTAAGTACACAGAAGGAAACATTTTTCTCTATTCAGTGTATATTTATGCTAGAAATGTATGTTTAAAATGTGTCATAAGTCGTCTTACGTGTGCATGTTGGAACAGGATTACTCCACGTCCCGTCAGCTTCGGCATGTCGTATCAGCAGCGCCATTCCGTACGTATCCCGAGTTACAGGTGAAGGTGACCACGGTCGGATAGGCGTGTGGTCCGAGAGGACTTAGACCTCCGTTAGCTGGGGCCGTTAGAGTCAGACATGGTCTGGCTGTAATGGTCAATAACCTGTTGATTCGGGGATCTATACATATACTTACATGTATGTGTACTGAATATAGAATAAAGAGACGGTTGCTAATCTATGTCTGTTTACCAACTTGAATTGATGGAAATTGCTGTCATGTATCAAGTTGTCTTACGTGTGCATGTAGGAACAGCACTACTCCACGTTCCGTCAGCTTGACACGTCGGAGTAGCAACGCCGATCAGTTGGTACCCCGAGTTACAGGTGAAGGTGACCGAGTTCGGGTAGGAGACCGATCCGGTAGGAGTCACCGCTCCGTTAGCTGGGGCCGCCCGAGCCGCACACTGTCTGGCTGAAAAGATGAACAGGTCTCGGTCAAGAACCTTCGAGTAACTAATAATTATTTAAGGGACGTTTTCATCTTCGTATGGTGAGTTGCATCGAGACAGAATTTTCATTGTTGATTGCTTTCAATGTCATCTTACGTGTGCAAGTAGGAACAGAGTTACTCCATGTTCCGCCAGCTTGGCAGGTCGTAGTAGGCAAGCCGTTCAGCACGTATCCCGAGTTACAGGTGAAGGTGACCACGGTCTGGTAGGTCCTCGCTGTGGTACTGAGCCCTCCGTTAGTTAAGGCCGTCAGTACCGGGCATTGTATTCCTGAAATAAAATGTAAATGTAAATTATAAGTCACTAAACATTAATATCATAATCTTGCAGTTAGCATGAATTTGTAAATGAAACAAGCTGCAATTGTATCTGGTGAATTTGTTTATACTGCAGTTATCAAACGTTGATAGCACCCATCAACTTGAAAATCGTCTTACGTGGACATGTTGGAACAGGATCACTCCATGTTCTGTCGGCTTGGCACGTCGACGTAGCAACGCCGCTCAGTGTGTATCCCGAGTTACAGGTGAAGGTGACCCCGCCCGGGTAGGAGACCGGTCCGGTAGGACTCACCGCTCCGTTAGCTGGGGCCGTCCTAGCAGTGCATTGGACCGCTGCAATGGAAAGTATACAATTTTTGTCAAACTCAAACATACAGCTAGAAATGAAATCAGAATACATCATATCTGCCTTCCCAATCGCTCGCTCGCTCACTCGCTCACTCACCACTCACTCACTCTCACTCACTCACTCACTCACCGACTCACTCTCTCTCAATCTTCCTATACTACAGTGTAGGCTTATAAAAACTTGTATCTATCAGTATCTAATCCATCTTACGTGTGCATGTATGAACAGGATTACTCCACGCCCCGTTAGCTTGGCACGTGGTAGAAGTAGCGCCGGTCAGTACGTATCCCGCGTTACAGGTGAAGGTGACCACGGTCAGGTAGGAGGTCGCTGTGGTACTGAGCGCTCCGTTAGCTGGGGCCGTCAGAGACGAACATTGTCCAACTGAAATGATAAGATAGCCATGTTCTAGCACATATCTACTAATGATTAATAGGACTACGTCGGTGAATTAGTACGTGTATGTTTGCTAACGTTTGAACATTGAGGGGAGCCACCATTCTTATCTTTGAATATTCTGACATACAATGGTGTAGATATGTAAAAACGTATCTATCAGTTTAAGATATATCTTACGTATGCATGTAGGAACAGGGTTACTCCACGTTGTGTCAGCTTGGCACGTCGGAGTGGCAACGCCGTTCAGGGCATATCCCGTATTACAGGTGAAGGTGACCCCGTTCGGGTAGGAGACCGCTCCGGTAGGACTCACCGCTCCGTTAGCTGGGGCCGCCCGAGCCGAACATTGTACTGCTGTAATGGGAAGGGAAGTGCAAAGCATACAACTAGAAATGAAGCCAGAATATTTTATGTCCTGTTGGCAATTGGATATGTTCATAGCTAAGTAATGAATTGATCTTTATTGACAGAAACTTGCACGACTGGTCTTTTAAGTTCTATGTATTACAAATACACGTAGGGAGCTCCGGAGTGACGTCGAAGTTTGAATGCACGTACGGAGTGACGCGACGTCGAATATTTGAATATAAAAAGGGTCCATCTTTCTTATATTCACTTGTGTATACAGCAGTGTAGTGTAGACATGTAAAACTGCATTTTGCTAGAAGTTACTTGTATCTACCAGTGTTAAACTCATCTTACGTGTGCATGTTGGAACAGAGTTACTCCATGTTCCGTCAGCTTGGCAGGTCGCAGAAGTAGCGCCATTCCTGTTGTATCCCGGGTTACAGGTGAAGGTGACCACGGTCAGGTAGGTCCTCACTGTTGTACTGAGCGCTCCGTTAGCTGGGGCCGTCAGAGGTGGACATTGGACCTCTGCAATGAAAAGTACAATTCCTGTCAAATATACAGCTAGAAATGAAATCATGTGATCACTGTAGATTATGTTTGCCTGCTACAGTTATATAGTTGTTAAATAGATGTTAGATAGATGTACAATTACATCTATTTGAGAAATCGTTTTTTCTATGTTCTAAAAGTACATTCAGTGAGCTTCCATTAGCACACATTTGTTTGTCAACGTTTGGAAATTAAAACGGGCCATCTTTACATATACTCTCACCACTATAGTTTAAGCGTGTATCTGTCAGTGTCAAAGTCATCTTACGTGTGCATGTTGGATCAGGATGACTCCACGTCCCGTCAGCTCGGCAGGTCTGAGCAGCAACGCCGTTCAGTGTGTATCCCGTGTTACAGGTGAAGGTGACCGAGTTCGGGTAGGAGACCGCTCCGGTAGGACTCACCGCTCCGTTAGCTGGGGCCGCCCGGGCCGAACATGTTCTGGCTGAAATGAGGATCCGGAAATAGCCAGGTTTTCATATCTGTGTACTGAAGATTTATTGATCGACAAACAATTGATAGACTAGTTATTGCATTAAAACATTCAAAGAAGGTATATAAATACATTTTGCTATAAATTGCTTGTATCTCTCAGTGTCAAATGCATCTTACGGGGACATGTTGGAAGAGTATTGCTCCATGTTCCGCCAGCTTGGCAGGTCACAGTAGGAACGCCATTCAGTACGTATCCCGAGTTACAGGTAATCGTGACCACGGTATTGAAGGAGGTATCTGTGGTACTGAGCGCTCCGTTAGCTGGGGCCGTCAGAGACGGACATTGGGCCACTGCAATATATATGGAAGTAAAGAAGTAAGAAAGAAGTAAATCTTATCAGACATATACTAGTAACTAGAAATGAATTGCAATATCTTGTGGAACTTTCTGCTGAGTATGTCTAGACGATGAATTGATATTTCTTGACACAAACATGCCTTTTTAATCATGTATACTTAAAATACACGGAGCGATGTTGAACTTGAAGCTCGTTCCTACAATGTAGGTATGTATGCCAACGTTTGAATATTAAAATGGGGCATAAGAAGTCATGCTCTCGATACTATAATAGTGTATAGGCGTGTAAAACCTACATTTCGCTAGATATCAGTTTCAAATTTATCTTACGTGTGCATGTTGGATCATTATTACTCCATGTCCCGTCAGCTCGGCAGGTCTGAGTAGCAACGCCGTTCAGTGTGTATCCTGTGTTACAGGTGAAGGTGACCGAGTTCGGGTAGGAGACCGCTCCGGTAGGAGTCACCGCTCCGTTAGCTGGGGCCGTCCGGGCCGGACATTGGACCGCTGCAATGGGAAGTACAAATCGCATTCTGTCAAATAAAATCACAATATCTAATGTATTCCTTTTGCAGAGTGGAAAAACGTACGTCTACATGACGAACTGATCTTTTTTTTACAGAAACACACAGAAGCTTCATTTGCTAGAAATTATCAGTATATATCAGTGTCAAACTCATCACACCTGTGCATGTTGGAACAGGATTACTCCATGTTCCGTCAGCTCGGCATGTGGTATCAGCAGCGCCGTTCCGTACGTATCCCGAGTTACAGGTGAAGGTGACCACTGTCGGGAAGGCGTGTGGCCCGAGAGGACTCAGAGCTCCGTTAGTTGGGGCAGTCAACGCCGGACATGGTCTGGCTGTAATGAGTAAATAGTCAAGTTCTGACATCTATGTGTAAACTTACTACATGTAAATGCGCTGAAAAGTAACACAAATACTATGATTCACTTTATGTTCGCGGTAGCAAAAGTACACGGTCTAAGAAAAATGGAAATAATCGCGGAATAATCGCGTTCACGGTCGTGGCAGGTGCTGAAAAAAGAAAGTCGGCGAATCATTTGTTAACGGTAATGATAAATTCGCGGTACAGAAGTGTCAAATTCATCTTATATAGTAGTTTGTGGTAAGAAATGTAACAAGATAGTTTAGTTTATTTGTAGTATTGTTGTATTACTGCCACACATTGTACCATGTACGATTGTCGAGCAATAAAGTTCATTCATTCATTCTTACGTGTGCATGTTGGAACAGGATCACTCCACGCTCCGCTGGCTTGGCAGGTTGCAGTAGCAGCACCGTTCAGTGTGTATCCCGAGCTACAGGTGAAGGTGACCCCGTCCGGGTAGGAGACCGCTCCGGTAGGACTCACCGCTCCGTTAGTTGGGGCCGCCCGAAGCGGACATGGCCTGGCTGTAATGATGAAATAGTCATCATTTGAAATCTATCTAGTACTAAAGATACTGATCGACGACGATTACCTTTGCCAACATTAGAACACTAGTATATTACAGGTATTTGATATATAACCAGAATAAATAAAATAAATAAATAAATAAATAAAAGAATACGTTTTGCTCTCAATTTTTAGTATTAACCAGTGTCAAATACTAGTAGTCGATCTTACGCGTGCATGTAGGAACAGAGTTACTCCATGTTCCGCCAGCTTGGCAGGTCGTCGTAGGAAAGCCGTTCAGCACGTATCCCGAGTTACAGGTGAAGGTGACCACGGTCTGGTAGGTCCTCGATGTGGTACTGAGCGCTCCGTTAGTTAAGGTCGTCAGTACCGGACATTCTACCGCTGCAATGGAAATTACAAAGAGAAACCTTCATGTCAAAACTGTCAATAAAATCACAAAGTAAATGGTTCTGCGTAGGACAAGTACATGCAGGTCACGAGTCGATCTTTCTTGACATAAACTTGCCCAAGAGGCCCTTTGGGTTCCGTGTACTAAAATATAAGTACCAGATTTGGATCTGCCAGACATCTGGACTATTTGCGCTGACTAGTATACAAAAAGCTTCTACTGTTCTAAAAATGCATGTAATTACGACGTCCATTACAGCTCTTTGACTAGAGGCTGCGACCGCTGAGCGACAGATTGATCAAGACCAAGGACGTTATTTTATTGATGAAGAACGAATTGTATTAATATTACGTTTTGCATTTCTTGCTGTTTCTACAGTATACTTTCATGGCGCACAGAACTACAATTTAGATCGCTCAGCGTACCTCATGTATATGACATGAGGTACATTTACATATTTAGCAGACGTCTGGGTTGCTAATGATTGAATATTGGAATGCGCCACTCTTATGTTTTCACCAGTATAGTAATGGTGCAAAGCTATATAAAACTACATTTTGTGAGAAATTTCAACAGTGTCTAAGTGATCTTACGCGTGCATACTGGAACAGGATGACTCCACGTTCCGTCAGCTTGGCACGTCGGAGTAGCTTGGCCGTTCAGTGTGTATCCCGAGTTACAGGTGAAGGTGACCCCGCTCGGGTAGGAGACCGCTCCGGTAGGAGTCACCGCTCCGTTAGCTGGGGCCGCCCGAGATGGGCATTGTACAGCTGCAATGGAAAGTATACCTTCTGTCAAATATATATCTAGATATATAAATACTTGAATTTGTTGAGTACAGAATCTGCATCAACATCTAAAAGCAACCATTGTTTGCTTCTCAAAGGAATGTTTTCACTCACGAGCCGTGGTACCATGTTCTGAATTGGCTGCCATTCTGACCGTGACGTGACAGCATTTAATTGAATTAACTGGATGCAGAAATCAAGAACTAGTGGAAGGACGATTTGCAATATTCAACGTTCTCTAACATAAGAAGAGTGTAATTTTTTGTCCAAGGTCTTTGTTTATTGAATAATGCCAATCACGTTTGACTGTTTTCAGGAACTGTACAGTATTTCATTGCCATTGGTCTCATCTAGTCTTTTCGTGTATGTGCCTGCGCGAATATCATCAGGAAAGTTTAACTTACGGTTGCATGTCGGTGGACTGGCAGTCCAGGCACCATTCTGTTGGCAGGTAATGCTAGTCGCGCCCACCAGGTTGTACCCCGAGTTACACGTGAACGTGACCACGTCCTGGTACTGACGTCTGCCTGCAGGACTCAGCGCGCCGTTCACTGGTGCCGACAGGACAGGGCATTGTACAACTGAAAATGTAGAATGCAAACGACTTGTTAATTTGGTAACTAGACGTAAAACAAACAACTAGTTGAAATGTTTGGCACTAGCATCATACATATGTCATGCAATAGCGACACCTGTCAGATGGTACAGTAATAACAATGACAATGACCTTTATTGAATATTCACGCCCATATTCATGGGCCAAATGCACTACCTTAGATAACTGAGGTTTAAGTGTTGGAAGAACAAGTACTACATTACTATGTTACGACTATATATATAAGATCTCGTTTCTCTTTTTGAAACACGCATGAACAAATTTACATAGTCATAGTTTTTAATTTACTCCGTATAACAGCTTGACGAACCTGAGCAGGTGAAACCGTCGCCGACGAATCCTATGTTACAGCTGCACTCAAAGGTCCTCCCCAACAGTCGGCAGGTTGCGTCGACGTGGCACGGGTGTGGATCGCACAGGTTGGTGGCTGTAAAGGCAAGGCCGAATTTGTTTAGTATGAATACAAAATTCTGTGAAAGACGACATGTGCCATATTATACAGACGTACATTATATCGTAACAGTGTTTAAATATTAAGTTGTTCACTTCACGGTAAGTTTTATAAGGAATAAGTATAAGAAGTCTGTTTGTAACTGTGCTTTCCTAGTCATTCTAAACCAACTGTCTACAAGAGAAAGAAAGAGAAAAAGAGAGAGTACCTACCGTTGCAAATGTCCCCTCCTATAGCTCTGGCTCGCACGCTGTCCACAAGCTCATCATGGTCCGTCAGTCTGAACACCCTGTTAGGGTCACCAGCAATAGTCTCTAGTGTAGCTTGACTAATGTCGTTTTCCGGGCCAACACCTACAGCAAACACGGTGATGCCCATGTCTCGTATCAGCTGTGCTGGGCCGCTGACGTTGTCCTCAGATTCATCGTCGGTTAATACCACCAAAAAGTCAAGAGTACTGTTCCGCCGGCCGTTTACTTCGAGGAAGGAATTGTTGCGCACGTGGTCGAGACCAAGTCCAGTGAAGGTATGGCCTCTGTCGTAGGGAATGTTGCGGATCTCAGTTAAAAGCTCAACTCTGGTGTAATTTTCGTTGAGCCTAACCCGAGTAACCTGCTCGTCCTCGTTGCTGAACGTCACAACACCGACCCTTGTGTCGTTTTCTCCGAGAGTAAAATAGTTGACTACATTCTGGAGAAACGTCTTTGCATCGTTGAAACCGCTTGTCCTGAAACTCTCCGAGCTGTCTACAAGGAAGACCAGGTCTACTGGATAAAGACAGTTGTTGGCTGAAAGAAATTAAAATGATTTAAAATGTCTGATATCTTTGGCACGAATGGGTAATTGGATTATTATTATCTGCTACATTTGAAACAAGGGGTCGATGACTTCATACCTTCGTCATGTATGAGTTTGGGTTATCAGAGATGTGCTGCTGTATATAGTTTGACTTTTATTTTGCTGGTATGTGAACCAAAGGATGTGTGTAATACGTAAGTCGGAGAACAGAAACACACGTTACACGAGTACGGAAATTTTCCGACAAAGTCACGATGCTTGTCATTGCCGTCATTGTTGGGTGTATGTTTTCGGGTTTGGAGTGCTGTGGAGTTTTCATGTTGGAATGCTAGAAAACGTCTATTTTGCCTTTTATTTGGCCTGTACAGATGGTGTAAAAAGAAGAACATGTAAAATTGCATGCGCACCACTTTGCACGTTTACGTATACAAAATAGTAGGCCTATACGAATGTTGTTGTTGCGATTATGTATATATATTTCTTTCGATTTTCTACTACAAAGTCACAGTCTGATTATATAAGAAACAATGAGGCACTCACGTAGTGCAGGTGGGACTGTCGCCTGGGAGACAGCTGAAAAAATATTTACCTATAGTTATTACTTTTCAATAAAGAACCGTATAATAACAGTGACATCAACTGTCAAAAATGTATGTCCATATTTCAGTTACAAGCCGTCATACCTGTTGCAATGGAGAGATACGTGTATCTTAAAAATGCGTCGGTAAGAAAGCTAGCGTTTTGTTATTGCAAGCTGAATTTACCACAATCTAAAATGCATGAATTTATCTATTCTATTAAGATTGTTGCGATATGTACATGTATATATTGTGCATTATATTTGTAGTAGAAAATGTTTTCGTATTCCTTTGTTTCTTTACTTCTCCAGTACATCATTGACAGATAATTGTAGGTGATTCTTTGATTTGCTTACCGGGCGCGACTACAAGTGTTCTGTCATTTGATCATTACTACAGACGTCATCGTGGTAAAATATGACTGTACACGCTAAAACTACGACGAACACATAGACTCTAGATAGTAATAATTAATAATTGACTGTTCTGTAATTTGATTGACCTTTGATATCACGGCACCGGTATATAAAGACAGACGTGCCCTCTAGGAATCTTTCAGTTGCTTAACCTTTGAGATCACGACTACTAAAATGTGGTAAAATAATACTGAAGTGAACGTTAACTAAGACTACGGCGGACGCGTGGACTTGTGTTCTTCTATGTGATTGGCCTTTGTGACTATGACTACTACCGAAATGAGGCAACACGGTAGTACAGATAACTGAACTACGACGGGCGGGTCGACGAGTGTTCTGTCATTTGATTAACTTTTTAGGTTTCCCGGCTACTGTGAGGTCACCGTAGTAAAATGTGACTATACACGGCGTAAGCGCCCGTAAGCGTCGACTTGTGATTTTTTTTGCTTGACTTTTGAAGCTAGGGCTGGCTAGATGTGGCAACACGGTACTGTACATATTAGAACTACGACGGACGCGTCGACCAATGTTCTATCTTTGATCGACCTTTCATTGACCGGAAGGCGGCAACACGATGAAAATACATTGTACATGCTAAATCGAATGGGCCGACCCGTCGATTTTTTTTCTATTTGATTGATCTTTGAGGTCATGGTTACTGAAAGGTCGGATGGTGGCAACACTGGCGGTGCTATATACATGGTAAAACTATGACGAACACGTCAACTAGTGTTCTGTCATTTGACTGACCTTCAAGGTCACCGTGACCGAAATGCGTCAACACGATGAAAATACGCGCTAAATCGAACGCGTCGACCGGTGTTTTTTTATTTGGTTGACCTTAGGGTCATGCTAACTGAAAGGTCGGATGGTGACAACACAACACTGGCGGTACTATACAAGCTGAAACTACGACGTCAACTAGTGTTTTGTCATTCAATTGACCTTCAAGGTCACCGTGACCGAAATGTGACAACACGATGAAAATACATGCTAACACTACGAAGAACGTGTCGACAACGAACATAGATACCTGGGCCTTGAATCAAAATCATCAAAATCTAATAATAGTTAAGTTTTCATGTGAATGACGCAGTGATTTGATTGCAATTAGAGTGATATGTGGTATTTTGGGAACCCTACCATGCCCAACCCAAAATACGTACGCAATCGGAACCACACCTAGAACATTCTTGCCAAACAATAGAGCGTCATATCTTCATACAAAACGTCCAGAAAGGCGCCTATATTCACACCGAGATAGTACATTCCGTACATCTAAAACATTTAATAATCAATAGAAATCAGTAATAATCGATACACATGTAGCATAGACCCTATAAAATTATCACAACGCAGTAATTTGTAGTTCTTCGATTAAGTGTCGCTTCAACGTAATTCACATCCTAAAGTCTTTGTATACATTAGAATAGCACATCTTACGCACATGTAAATGGAAACGTTCACTTACAAGCGAATACTCTAACATCAGATACTACCCGCATAAATCTGTTGTGTGAGACCGTGTGATCAGATGAGGTACTCACCCATGTACACATTAGCCGCCAGAACGGCGCTGACAAGCCCGAGGGCACTCTTCATGTTGTACGCCGAACTCCAAACCCGGCTTTTTTTTTCCAAAAGTGAACGAAATCCGTTTCACAACTAGAAAAACTGATATCTTTGGCTCTCTAGAGAGGCACCGTGTGCCAAGGCGGACTTCGTCGGTGGCCGACTGACGCTCAGACTAGAGAAGGAGCGCGCAGAAATTCGCCGTGGACGGGCGCTGTCTCGTGTGAACGTCTGAACTTAACTACGTACCCGGTGAGACAAGATCAGAGCATGCACGCCCAAAAGTTAATTGGGCGTGGACCACAACTATGGTTTTGCAAAAAGTCGAAAAAATTAAGCCTGGCGACAGAACATAAGAGAGTGCATGGACATTTAACCTAGAAAAGAATTACGATATTTCTTTTTTTCCTAAGATTTAGCTTGGTTACCAAACCTATTTTAGATGCTGAGTCTCTTTCGTCCTCTCAGCTCCGCTTTCTGCGGAGAGGACGAAAGGGAATCGGCATCTTAAATAGGTTTGGTAACCAAGCTACCTAAAATGTAGGTCCGTTGCAAAACGTTTGTTCGTCCGATAGCTTTTTATCCGACCATGTGATTTACTAGGTATCTTGTTGGTAAAAAAACTCAGGTATCAATAAAGTGAAAAGCGCAGGCCATTCCCTGTACCGATCTGTACTGTCATTGGATTTACATCTTTTGTCCAAAAATCCACTTTTTACCAAACGTACAACGATACAGTCTTGACTTGTTGAGTCATGTCCATTGTAGCGTGCAGAATTGTGAATTAACGCTCATTACCGCCAAGCGCCAGGTGCGATAATTGAGGACGATCTTTTGCCCTTCTGTACGGTTACACCCAAAGTTGGGTTACACCCAAGTCTGCCCAAAGATGGGCATATGTTTTGGCGCGAACGATTATGATGTCAACGGTTACAAGGTTGGTGACATGGTGCAGGCATGGGATAGGTCAAACAATGCGGTAACTCGTTGTCTACATACGAATGTAGATCATATATACGAACGTAGACAGCGAAGTCACTCTGTACGTCACTCTATGTGTTGCACACGACGTTTCATTCGCCTGGGTGTCTAGTCTTTACAACCCAATTACGTAGTATTTGTACTTCATAGGTAAGCCTGGTATGTAGACTAGAAAAGCCTAGATTGCAATAGGGAGGGTCTTCCCCTGTTCAATGTGCTAAATCACTCATGAACAAATACTTAACTCAGCGTTAAATAGTGTAAGCGTTAATTATAGCCATAGCATTGGCAGAGAGTTAGTTGTCAGATAGTTGGTGGGGTTGGGAGCACTGCCTGTGTAGTAATGGTAGTGCCATGCCGGTCCTTACATATATAATACCCATTTACTACAACAGCGAACATCAGCCAACCACCGGCCAAACATGGCCGAACCTTCCGTCCACACTAGAATGTTTTAAGCATTCGCCGGGTGGAGCCGAAGAACCTCGCCGAACACTAGACAACCACAACCGACCCTGCTCCCGACCTACTCAAAATCATGGTTAGCGGGAGTTCGGGAGGCCATATTCAGCTATGTGTGACAGGGACATATCAGTCATACAAAAGATCAAGTGTGTAAAGATACCTTTGAACCCTGCAGCTATACATGCCATAGTAACTACCACTATTACGATGGTATTCCTACTATTGTCCGACAGATTCAGATAGCATTCCATAAGCATGACGTGACAGAGACTTCTGTGTGCGCTACTTATCTTTTACAGCATCTATGTACTGTAAATGATAATGGATAAAGAGACAATGAGTAGAACATGCCACTGCATTAGAATAGCTTACCAACGAGTTGTGAAAAAGATTAGTAATCGAAATGAGTTTATAACAACAAAGACGTCTGTGATATGTCTATTTATTTGAACATTATGAACATATGTAAGTGAATGTGTTAGCAACGTGAGAAACAGATTCCAAAGTCACAAAAATAGATAGGATAGAGTATTTTAGGTATAAACACGGTTTAACGTGAACATCAGACAGGAGTGGTTATCTACGATAACCAAGTATTCTGCGTTTGGACGGTTTTCTAGCTTAATTGATTATCAATTGCTTCAGGGTCAAATTAGTGTATCTAATAGGTCTGTAGTGCTGAATAAAGGCTGTGGAGGGCGGGGTTGTCCGACCGCTAATTATACGTTCGCCCGAAAGGCCGAAGACCTGTCACACCTCCATACATGGTGCTTCCATTTTAGACGTCACAATGTTAACTGCCAATTAACTTGAACGGCGCCCTATTGCGTAGCTTTGGGCTCTTCACGGGTAGGACAAAAGCCAGGTAGAGACGAGCCTCACTCACACAACCAGTCGTCCTACAGGGCACCAAGGGTGGAAGAGAACCTTCTAAATATATCTATATGTATAATTATCTCTGCAGGGGGACAGTTGACGCACGTACAACATATACTCGTACATGGTGCTGAGCCATGAGAAATTACATTCACAAAGTGGTTATGTCATGAACTCTAAATTCTCATACTGAGTATTAGCAACATAGTACACGAACAATCGCACTACCCGGTATAATACTAGTTCGAAAACTAACAAATGAAAGTGAACACTACTTCACCACGTATACAATAAAACAATAATCAGGAACTGAAATGCGTTTCGGGTAAATTGTCTAAAGTGTCTAACATTCTGCAGCCCATGTAGCTATTTTATCAGCTTTAACTGTGGCATGTTAAGCCCACGGGCTGCCAAATGTGAACAAAATTATTATTGTTATTTATTATTATTAAGACATTTCTCTATCTTTCTCTCTATATTGATATCTACGTATGAGAATTACGTTTGTCCTTTGAATTATCAATCGCTTAATAATAACTTTTGAAACAAGAGCGGCGACTGAGGTCCGTTTCGTCGCTAGGGGTTTCCGACGAAGTCTATTATGGCCACTTGGGACTCCGACCCCTTGGCCTTGTACATGTGTTGTTCGAGTGAGTGTCGTACGTAGAATAACCGCAAGGGGGATACGTGAAAAGAAACAAAAACAGACACAGTCAAACAAACGATTATGACTACCATGAAAGTTGCAAAATAGTGGAGAAATGTACGATATAATGATATGATTTTTAGAATGTTTTTATTCATATTTATTCTTTGGGGGCGGGGTGGGGCTGGACAAAAAGGAGTCCCCATATTTGATTCGAGAGTAGCAGCATATTTAGTCCTGACACGTTTTTGTGTCTCATTTACAAGGATTCATGACATCTTTGTTTCTAACTTCGTCTCTTCTAGTTTTGTGACATTTTTTTACAGATTATTTTCAAATCCTACCCAATGGCTCCTTCTGAGCAAAGATTGGACCAGAGTGCGATAAACGATAACTACCACCCTTCTGTCAGTTTTCGTAGGAAATCAATACTTAATGCTCGTGTGAGTGTCACCTACACAGTATGGCTTTACCTTACCTTTGGTTCGATGGGAGCCGCCATTGCTGCCGCCGGTGCATACGAAGTGCTGTTGACAAATGTTGTAATGTCACTGGGTACCTGTCCCTTTTCTTTTACACATATAAATAGTATCCCCGTTATTGTTGTAAATTTCTTGTTTTATTATAGCTTTTTATATGTTTTTTATTATAGCTTTTGGATCCTTCTAAGCTAGTTTTAGCTTTGTTGCAATATTTTATACTACATGCATCTTCAGGTGCTTTTAGCATAAAATCACCCACATAGAACAACATGAAAAACCTCAACGCCTCATCCACTTACCGCCGATCCACTACAGCAGTTTCTATATCATTATTCCATTTATTCGCCTCGGTTTCCCGTTGCATATTTTTTGTGTTTGTTTAAATGTATTGTTTAAACGGTGTATATAAGACAAACTTACTGTCTGCTGCAGCACAAGGCGATACAGCCCGCCAGGAGCAGGAGCCCGAGCAGACACAGCAGCGCCGCCAGCGCAGCGACAGGGATACCGAGCCCGCCGCCAGCTGAGGGATCAGTCAAAATTATAGAAAATCTCATCGACTTTACCCATAACTATTGTCTTGTGTATAATGGAACAAGACCTAAAATACAGTATGCGTTACAAGTTACATTGGAGGTCATACTTTATATATGCTGCAACTCTAGACACAATGAACCAGTAATACCTAGCTTCAGTGTACAGTGAAGCAGTCATATTTGCCCTGATGACGGTCATCGAAACGTCGGATCTTGGAAGAGTTAAACAGGTGGTTGTGAATAAAGAATTTTTGATATTCAATCATTCAGCGTAGTTTTCTCACCTGCTTCATCGACCGCACAACACGCTATTACACATTAACATCGCTTGAGCTGTGCGGACCTTACTGCCTTCTATACGCATTATTAAGAGTACTAGTAGTTTTCTCACCCGCTCCTCCGACTGCCGTGCACGTTGGCACGTCGTCAGTCCACGTGCCGTCCGCCTGGCAGGTGATGCGGGTCACCCCGTTCAGAGTGAAGCCGTCGTCACAGCTGAAGTCCACGTCGCCGCCCTGGAAAGACGTGCCGCGCCGGGACCCGTTTGTCGGTGCTCCCGGGTCCTCGCAATGTGTGCCTGTAACATGGGTACATTCAAGTCCATGCTAACTTTAGACGAAAGGCCCCAAACCTTTAGTGGTCTGATACGTGATTGAGTTGGAACTTCTTAAATCATCAGTTTAATAACACCGTAATGCCACGGCATTGACAACTTGTGAATCTTTTGTTTCTGTCGAGATTTCTAGATCTTTGACTGGTAGAAATAATTAATTGATGCAAAAAAATAATAATTTGGACAAATTAAAAAAATTTCAATTGCTTAACTCAATATAAAAACCAACATTTTAATTGTTACAAACACGCTACACTGTGGCCCCAGATTTACCATTAGCCATTGTAAAGTGAATATCTAAACATCACCTCCACTAAACCACTGTTCTAGCCTGTTTGTTGCAGCCGTGGCGCTCTGTTGCCCACCGGTAACGTACAGAACCTTCTGGGGGTCGTCCGTGATCATCTCCAGTCTCCCCTGGTCCACGTTGTCTCCTATGCCGATAGCGAATATGGAGATGTTCTCGTGCCGAACGGACTGAGCGGCGAACTCCATGGCGTCGTCAGACCGCCCGTCTGTCACTAGGACCAGCGCGTCGGGACTGCCCGGCCGGTTGCCGCTGGTGGAGGCAAAGCTATCCTGCAATTGAAAGGTATGTAGTCATAGTCAAGTAACCTCCTATCCTTCCATCTCTGGCGATGGTGAGAGCACTCTTGAATGTGTCATGGTGGGCTGCGTCTTGTACATGTTTTGTCATGTTCATATTTTGTTATAAATGCACTTTTCCCTGTTTGGAGACGGCGCGTATACAAGTTTTAACTTGTCCTCGTATGTTTCTTTGTGTATGTTTCATGAATTAAAGGCAGGGTCACATACACAAAAGAAACTTAACATATCAACGACAATAACACTCTGCGACTTCGACAAATCACGTCCATCGATATCACGTCCTTCTAATTAGGTAAAGTACACTGCTATGTTTCGTCCTTGACTTGTGTAGGTCTACTTAGAGTAAATGAGACAACAATACCTGTCGGGCAGCATCCATGGCATTTCCTACGAAGCTTCCTCCGCCAAGTTGCTGGATCCCCCGTATGGCGTCTAGAACCTCCTCCTTCTCAGAGAAGTCGTTCAGGTCGAACTCCTTCCGGGTGATGTCGCTGAACTGCATGAGGCCGTAGCGAGTGTTGCCCTGGGGGTCCTGTCGACGGTTTATGTTAAAAAATTGTTATGGGTGAAAGCGTTTAGTATATTTTAAAATGTTTGGACATGAAGTAATATTTGAGGATTATCTTGAAAGTTCATCTGTGTTGGTAGAAGTCATTATGAAAGAAGTCATTTGGGTGAGTCCAATTTCTTGTGTTGGCAATTACAGTTCACATTTGTAATATTTGAGAATGTTTGTCGTGGGCAGAAAACGGCTCCATCACAACAGAAACTCTAACCATGGATTTCAGTCCATCTGATTCACTGCGCAGTGAATCAGACGTCTAACGAAGGTCGACGAGATCGACTAAAATCCATGGTGAGTGTTTCTGTTGTGTTGAAACAAAGCAATAAAGTATCATGTAACAGATCACCTGCCGACGACTGACGATGTTCTGGATTATAGTCTTTGCCGAGGCGAAGTCAGGCCCGTCCAGACTGCCGGAGCTGTCCACCAGGAACACGACGTCCCAGCCAACATCACGGTCACGGGCGTCAGGATCTGTTCGGGTAAAACCATTAGTACCTGTTACGCTGATGAAGGTTAGACATCCAGGTAAACAATATTCAAAGACAAATCAAACTCTACTACTGGATAAATTACGGAGAATTCGAGTGACTCTTAAAATTGTGATTTCCCATCCAATTCCATCAACTTCCGTCAAGTGTTTTATGCCTTTCAGACAACGTGTGTTCATATTTGAATTTAGCGCTTTATACCATGAATGATATTCAATGAAGATTATTGTTATTAATGGAAAGCTAGAGGATTTAAAAAATTTGAATTACATGTCATCAAAAGAAAAAAACGATTCAGTTTGTGTATATGCTCTTTACATACTAATTGTTTCTTGAATAGGTTTTACCTTCGCAGCGATGGGAGTCGATGGTTGCTACACACTGCAGTCCGCTTGGGCACGGGTTAGGGCTGCATGGATCACCCACTAGAAAATGATATGTCGTCAATTGATATCTTGTCCTATTCAACTGCTTAAGCACTGTATGTATTTCCATGTCTGATCGACTGTCAGATAGACAATGACAATATAATGTTTACTAAACAAAAGGCATTTCGTTCATCAGTTACTTATAGAATGGTAAGCAGTGTGTAGTCGACTTCACATCTAGTACACAAGGCACGCTGAATAGACCGATCCTGATGATCAACCACATAACAATTGCAATGGCAATTTGTGGTTAGACCAATGAGAGAGTGGCTGCATGTCCGTCAGGTGTTTTGTGTCTTTATTGTGCGTTACTATCTTTTGCGTTTCTCAGATCGTCTGAGGGGAATTCCAATACGTATAAAGATTGATGAATAGATAAATAAAGCTTACATCTGCAGAGCGGAGCATCTCCAGACCACCTGCCGTCTTCTTGACACCTGATGCGTGCGTCCCCAACGACGGCATAACCATCATTGCAGCTGTAGTCCACCTGCCCGCCTTGGAAGAAGGAACCGCGTCTGATGCCGTTCAGCGGCATGCCTGGATCCCTGCATTCCACAGCTACAGAGAAGACAAAATTGCATGATTACAAAAAATTTTCCCTTTATTTATTCATTAGCTTTAATCCGTTCCAACCGTTGAATGGGTTTGCAATGCATCATAGCAAAAGTAAACGTCCCATCCTATAATTATTTTGAATGTTGAAACATTCAGCGACAAGACCAAGTTTTAAGAAACATGATACAATGATATAAAAGGCCTCTGTATATTGGTGTGTATAAGATGCCATGTCAAAATCTATTTTATAAACATCTGCAATTGACACTATATGCTACGTAGTTATCGCAATTACATGTCCTTTCCTCCAGAAATATCATCAAAATCTAGGAGCCCAAATCAACGAAAAAAAAGGACTTGCGATAGGTTTTCACCTCTGTTTAACCAGTTGACGAGTTTGGTGTTGGCACCGGGCAGAGCATCATCGTCAGGGACAGGAAGAACCTTCTCCGGATCTCCAGCGATGCCCTGTAACGTTTCTCTGTCCAGGTCGTCTCCAACGCCGATGACGAAAACATTGACGCCCTTTTGCCGAGTCGACAAGGAGGGGAAAGAAATGTCGTCACTTGACTTTCCGTCCGTCAAGACGACCAGCGCGTCCGGAACACCTTCTCTGTTTCCATTGCTCGGGGCAAAGCTGATCTGCAACGATAACATTTGACGGAGTCAGGCAACTTCATTCCCCTCTGTAGTCTGCAGTCGTTCATTCGCAAAAGACATAAATGTAGGTAAAGCAATCACATAGATACATAAGAAATATATCATATAGATACATATGCGCATGCTTGCCATATATACCAGAATTCACTCCAATATAATGATAAAGGACAAAATTCAATCATACATTGACATATGAATATAGGACAGTATATAAGACATTGCCTGTAATAATAAGTCTTAGAAATTCGTCCCCAAAATGCACAAGTGCATGGTCACATCCCTTACTACAAAATCTACATAAAGAGATTGTCAAAATACAGTGAATCATACCGTCCTGGTGTGATCAATGGCTTCTCCGGTAAACGTTGCCCCACCGAGGTAGCTGAGGTCATCGATGGCTTCTGATATCTTCATCTTATTTTCGTAATCTTTCAGAAAGACTACGTCACTAGGGGTGTCACTGTACTGTACCAGACCGATGCGCGTGGCTTCGGTGGAGAGTGGTAAGCCATCCACTATGTCTTTGGCGTATTGCTTCACTTTTTCGAAGTTGGACTGCCCCAAGCTTGTCGAACTGTCCAGAAGGAGGATCAGGTCCCAGCCGCCATGGTTGAGTCTGTCTCTAATTCTGACACGAGTCGTGAAACCTGTGGAAAATGGATCACATTTCGTCATCAGAATTAGCAGGTATTCTCGGGTCAGTTGCGGTCAAATCGCGAGTACTCTGACAAATATACTGGCACTCTACGCTGTATAAATATGACGGAAATAAATAAATACTGATACGTTATAAAGCAATTGTTTTTCATCCTACTCGTTATCTTTATCAATAGTAGCTAGGACGATACTGAACTACGATCTACGATGTTATAATTAATCAAAATGGCTTGTCGTAACTGGCATATTTTTCTCGTTTGATGATTGACGCTAAAGGCACATTCTCATTGTACAGTGTCTAGAAACACACATATAGGCAAGTTTTACACGTTATGGAACATTTATAGTGTGAATGAAAAAATGGGTTATATCAACCACTAGCACTAGAATTACATGGAATCTCTGCCCAGGTGGCTGTATGCGCGAGTGGAGAACATATGCAAATGCAACGTGATGCACTGACCTGCCGGGCGAGTAACTGGAATCGTCGGTCGGAAAGCTGTGGAAGACGTCAGAATTGTTCATTATTCGGACATTAGATCCTTTATCACCATTGACAGATTGTTAAATACACGATTAACATTTCAGATTACAGAAATTGTAGTCAAATCCCGGGTAGAATTCTTCTAATAGTCAACTATTTCCAAAGCTGAAATGCACAGCGATAATGGCCTGTTGCGTAAGATGTTTTTATTATATTAAGATGCCAAATCTAACTTACCACATGTGGGACCCCAGTATCCATTGGAACATTGACAGCGGTAGGAATTAACAGTCTGAAAACATTGTCCTCCATTCTGACATGGATTGGGGCTACATGGACCGCCAACTGTAAGACAATTCAATAGGGGACAAGGTTATCCATTCGTTTGTACCGAGTTTACTGTTGCTCTTCAGGACCGACAATGTACAACCGGTGAAATGTCAGTATTGATGTGATGAGACCTAAAAAACACAAACCTACCTCTGCAAACGGGAACATCGCTACTCCACGTACTCCACTGACATGTGATGGAGGTTTCACCGACAAGAGTGTAACCGTCGTGACAGCTGAAGTCCACCTGTCCTCCCTGGTAGAATGTGCCCTGTCGGATGCCATCTGTTGGTGCACCTGGATCTCCACAGTAAGCCGCTAGAATGATAAATCGTAGTAAATCAACTAAGAATGCAGGCTCTCGTACATACAAAGTTTACGATGGTTGTCGCCGTTACAAACCATTGTAATCAAAGAACATTGTTCGTATTGCAAATACATTTAGGCACCCAAATTTCGTACAGATACTGCGATGTATTAACCACTAAAGTAGACAGTAACGGTTCATGGATACATGAGAGGGTTAAGAAAACTAACCTCTGCACAGCCATCTCTTCAACGATTTAATGACCTGGGCGCGAGATCCCGGGTCCGAAACTTGAAGAACGTTTTGCGGATTTCCTGCGATTTGATCCAACGTGTCCCTGTCCACTGTTGTTCCCATACCAATTGCAAAGACTGTTATGCCCTGGTGTCTGGCAGACTGAGCGGCGTACGCCACGGGATCAAAGGACACGCCGTCAGTCAGTACGACCAACGCATCGGGGCGGTTGGCGCGGTTCCCACTGTCCGCTCCGAAGGATACCTGTAATTGAGGAACAAATAAAAGATATGAGGAAGCCGAAAGTACCACAGTATGTTAGCTTTCTATGTATATTTCAGGTATGAATTTCAACAATAAAGTAATAACTGTACAATAAAGGTCTTCATCCTTATTAAATTTTCTGCAAGTTTTAGCAAATTCCTCTTTGGTTGTTTATGTACCTAGTGAGCATATTGTATCGAAAAGAAAAGCCTATTCCAGATAGATTTCAACAGACCTCGACAACAAATATTCAAGCCATTTTCAATGAAATAAAAGACGTGAACAGGAAAAGAAACTGTTAACTACAAAATCCTTTGCGAACCTGTCGAGCAAAGTGGATTGCTCTTCCCGTGTAGGTGCCTCCACCTAGATAGTTGATGTTGTCAACAGCAGAGAGGATATCAGCCTTGGTCTGATACTGGTTGAGGTTGAACGCCGTCTGCTGGTTTTCGTTGTACTGCACCAGTCCTATGTGGGTAACACCGTCGCTGTCAATGAGCCCGGCGATTGTCTCTCTGGTGAAGCTCTTGGCATCAAGGAAGGACTGATCCACGCTTCCAGAGCTGTCCAGAAGGAAGACCAGGTCCCAACCCTCTCGGTCCAGGCGGTCACAGGGCTCCTCTACAGAAAACATCGGTCACGTTGCTTGGAAGGTAATATTAGAGGCCGGCATGCTAGGGCCAATAATTTAGTTAAGGAATTCCACAACTGCGAACGTAAAATAACTATGATAAAGCATATGGTGTAAATCTAGAAGATGACTAAACATTGGTAAAGAATTCCTGTACGCACCTCTGCAATCTGGAACTGGCTCGCTCCATGTCCGGTCAGCTTGGCAGGTAGTACTGGACGCTCCGTCTAGTTGATATTCCTCGTTACAAGTGAAGTGCACCACGTCCTGATATGAGTTGGCGCCGATAGGACGTAATGTTCCAAATGCTGGGGCTATTAATGACGGGCACTGAACAGCTATAAACATAAATGTGATACACAGTGTCAATAACTACATGTATAGTTCTGACCATTTATTAGATATCAAATGAAACACCAATGCAATAGTGCAAAGGAAAAAAAATAGTATAGATACTTCATCAGTTATCTTACGTTGGCAAGTTGGAATAGGAGCAGTCCATGTTTGGTCCGCCTGGCACGTCACACTAGAGGCTCCGTTCAGTCCGTATCCCTGGTCACAGGTGAACGTCACCACGTCCTGGTAGGAGTTCGCTCCAACTGGACTCAGAGCTCCATCTACTGGGGCTGCCAGTGCAGAACATTGTCGGCCTGAAACGATAGCACAACTTTACCCATAAACCATGTGGGAATCTACGTTGTTACATTGCGTAAGAGGCCAAGATATTGACCCTGGGTGCTTTTTTCGATCATTTAAACATGTATCGAGTAAGATTCGCTAAATCATGTTAAGATGTCAATTTCAAATGAATCATACGCTGGCAGGTTGGAATGGGGCCACTCCACGTTTGGTCCGCCTGGCACGTCAATCTGGAGGCTCCACTTAGTCTGTAACCCTGATTACAGGTGAACGTCACCACGTCCTGGTAGGAGTTCGCTCCGGCGGGACTCAGAGCTCCATTTACTGGAGCCGTCAGAGTCGGACAAGGCAACGCTAGAAGCAGAAAAACGTAATGAGAATCTCAAGAGTAAGAGGTTCAGTATCTTGAAGTCCAAACAACTATAATGTCATATTTTTCAGGCATTATATTCGAAGGAAAAGCTATTTTCTTAGCTTAAAATATAAGTACCTCTGCATGTTGGAACTGGTTCGCTCCATGTTTGGTCCAACTGGCATATGGTGCTAGACGCTCCGTCCAGTCTGTAACCCTGGTTACAGGTGAACGTCACGACGTCCTGGTAGGAGTTCGCTCCGGCAGGATTTAGAGCTCCATTGGCTAGTTGGGTCAGCGTCGGACATCGTCGGGCTAAAACATGATAGAATGAATGAATGAACAAATAATTGAATGAATGAATGAACATATTTTTTTACATTTGAATAATATGCGCTTGACATTTGGTTGTAGAGTGCAGTCGATTGTAGACGCAAAGGGCAAGATTCAAAACACATTCAGTCACAATATCAACGTTTAAATACATCTTACGTTGGCACGTTGGAACTGGTTCGCTCCATCTTTGGTCAGCCTGGCAAGTCACACTAGAGGCTCCGTTTAGATTGTATCCCTGGTCACAGGTGAACGTCACCACGTCCTGGTAGGAGTTCGCTCCGGCGGGACTCAGAGCTCCATTTGATGGGGGTGATAGAGTCGGACACTGCCCGCCTAAACCGGTGGTAAAACATACGTCAAGAACTCTTAACTGTCAATGGGGTATGCTCTAAAGATACTCCAAACGATCACCTACAGAAAATGGCTATTTGCCTTTTTTCAAACATTTGCAAAAAGAGAGGCTTGTTCTCTGACGCGATTCATAGCAAATCGTTGAGTAAGATTTGATACACATTACTTTGTCAAGGGAGTTACAAATATTGAGTTCAAGTACATCTTACGTTGACAGTTTGGAACAGGACCGCTCCATGTTTGGTCCGCCTGGCACCTCAAACTAGAAGTTCCCTCCAGTCTGTACCCCTGGTTACAGGTAAATGTCACCACGTCCTGGTAGGAGTTCGCTCCGGTAGGACTCAGAGCTCCATTTACTGGGGCCGTCAGAGTTGGACATGGCAATGCTAACACAAAAAGAAAACATTAAAAGGGGATGTATAGAGAACACTGTAATCAGTTAAGTACATCGTGATTAGAATTTAAAACAACTATAGTTTGTGTTTGATATTTACATACATTGCAGTCATTGAAACATTTTCTTAATGAAACCTAACAAACGTACCTCTGCATGTTGGAACAGGTTCGCTCCATGTTAGGTCCAACTGGCACGTTATCCTGGAGGCTCCGTCCAGTCTGTACCCCTGGTTACACGTAAACGTAACCACGTCCTGGTAGGAGTTCGCTCCGACGGGACTTAGAGCCCCATTAGGTAGTGATGCCAGCCTTGGGCATTGTCGAGCTGAAAGAATAATCCAAATATAGTTAGCATCAGGAACTCTTTGGAAATATATATGTTATTATGACATAGTAGTTTATATTGAGTTTATTGTTGACTTAATTCACTCGCAATGAAATACATGGCGGCGTCATCTGCTGTTCTGCACAGACACTGAATTGCGCACTCTAGGCATCTTAACATTATCATTGGATCTTTATTGCATGTTCATTCCCGGGGGGATAAATGCAGGGATGTACAATGTACAATGTACTAGAACGAAGTAACAACGATCAAATAAAAGGCTAGCATCTTAAGTATCATTACAAGTAATTCAAAACATGTATAAAATTACATTAAAAGAAATTAAAGAATATGGAACATTTCTTAATACTTAGGCTGTAATAATTGATGTAATAATTAATGTATTGCTGTTGGGAGATTTTAACAGGCGTATTTATTCAATAGGTGAGTAAAGTATGGAATTGGACTGTTTTTTTATAGCGGTTGGGTTTAGCCAATGGGATACAGAGTTATCGGGAACTTTTCAGTTTTTTCTGCTGAATTTCAGTTACAAAACATATCCTGATATGGATTGTTTGGGGAATTATAAACAACACAGTTAGCTAGGACATGTCCTACCGCGCGCTAATGTATTTCCATTTTAGAACATTAGAAAATTTCGTCGCTGGTCATCAATACAGCTTCTGAAGCAGATGTACGAAGTAAGGTTCGACAGACATTGCTCAACAATATTAATTCTAAACACATCTTACGTTGGCAAGTTGGAACAGGTGCACTCCATGTTTGGTCCGCCTGGCACGTCACACTAGAGGCTCCGTTCAGTCCGTATCCCTGGTCACAGGTGAACGTCACCACGTCCTGGTAGGAGTTTGCTCCGGTAGGGCTCAGAGCTCCATTTATTGGAGCAGTTAAAGTTGGGCATTGTCCAGCTGGAACGATAATCAAAGTTATGAGGTCATTAGGAATTTAATATACTATATGTGTTTTACACATCAAAGGGATATCCTACAGCCAATGACTATTTGCCCATTTTCGTTTGAAAGATGCGCCCTACTCATACAGTGCAGAAAGTAAAGTTCGGTTCATTTACAAGAGACCGCTTTAACATCTTACGTTGGCAGGTTGGAATTGTGCCGCTCCATGTTTGATCCGCCTGACACGTCACTCTGGAGGCACCGTCAAGTGCGTATCCCTGGTCACAGGTGAACGTCACCACGTCCTGGTAGGAGTTCGCTCCGGCAGGACTCAAAGCTCCATTTACTGGGGCCGACAGAGCCGAGCATTGCAACGCTAAAACAAAAAAAGAACATTGTAATAATGATGAGTAAAATACTATATAACTAGCTAGTTTAATACCTACAAAAATCAAAGCAACAATTTGACATTTTGTATGCTCTCTATTTGCTTGGAAAACTTTTTAATAAAAACCTATCTACATCTACGTACCTCTGCATGTTGGAACCGGTTCGCTCCATGTTTGGTCCTGTTGGCACGTCGTACTAGACGCTCCGTCCAGTCTGTATCCCTGGTTACAGGTGAACGTCACCACGTCCTGGTAGGAGTTTGCTCCGGTGGGACTCAGAGCTCCATTAGATAGTTGGGTTAGCGTCGGACATTGTCGAGCTAGTTAAACGGTGGTACGGTTTTTATCATAAACTTTAAACAACTTTATTTGCAAAATCATGCCCGAAGGCTAAATGCTTTTACAATCAAGTATACTACTCATTGCAATACAGCAATAGAAGACAGGAAACAACTGTCTGGAAAAACTTCATAAACCATTTAGGAATCTATTGTTTTACGATAAATAATTAGATATCAATCAGGGCATATGCAAAACAATTAAGTAAAACTTGATAAACACCACTTTTACAACATCACTTCAAGTACACCCTACGTTGGCAAGTTGGAACAGGTTCACTCCAAACAACCTCTTACAGCCAGAAGTAGACATTGGATAACAATAATAATGTTTTAACCCATCTTACGTTGGCATGTTGGAACAGGTGCACTCCATGTTTGGTCCGCCTGACACGTCACACTGGAGGCTCCGTTCAGTCCGTATCCCTGGTTACAGGTGAACGTCACCACGTCCTGGTAGGAGTTCGCTGCGGCAGGACTCAGAGCTCCATTTACTGGGGCCGTCAGAGTTGGACATGTCAACCCTACAACCAAGAAACATTTTCAAAAGGCTATCAAAAATACAATGTAATCTGTTTATTAATTCAGTATCAAAAATTAAAATAAGTATTTAAAATTTTGTATGCATTGTATTCAAAGACAAAACCTAAGTAGGCACCTCTGCAAGTTGGAACAGGTGCACTCCATGTTTGGTCCGCCTGGCACGTCACACTGGAGGCTCCGTTCAGTCCGTATCCCTGATCACAGGTGAACGTCACCACGTCCTGGTAGGAGTTCACTCCGGCAGGACTCAGAGCTCCATTTACTGGAGCCGTCAGAGTCGGACATTCTAGGGCTAAAGCGATGGCATAAATTTAGTCCGCAATAATTTAAACAATATCTACTTTTTGAAATGGACGATAGGTGTCTTACAGTACCACCAACATGTACTGTTGATGTTTTTCTTTCGAAATGACGCGTCCTTGCAATCTTATACAATATGTCACGAGAAATAGACAGTAATTTTTGATACAACATTGCTTTACAATATTAGTGCTAGATCAAATTACCTTGGCAGTTTGGAACAGGTTCGCTCCATGCTTGGTTCGCCTGGCACGTTGTCCTCGAGGCTCCGTCTAGTTCATATCCTTGGTCACAGGTGAACGTCACCACGTCCTGGTAGGAGTTCGCTCCTGCAGGACTCAGAGCTCCATTTACTGGGGCCGTCAGAGTCGGGCATCGTCCGGCTAAAATGACATTCATGAACCCATTAGGAATCCTACCTAGTATTTTTAGATACCCCAAGTAATTCTATTTACAACAAATTACAAACTGCCTTTTTTTTTCAAACATTTGAAAGATACGCACTTGTCATTTGATGCGATGTACGACGAGGATGTATCAAATAACATTTGACACTCGTTACGTATACTTAACAATACCAGTTTTAAAGACGGCTTACGCTGGCATGTTGGAACAGGCGCACTCCATGTTTGGTCCGCCTGACACGTCACACTGGAGGCTCCGTTCAGTCCGTATCCCTGGTTACAGGTGAACGTCACCACGTCCAGGTAGGAGTTCGCTCCCGTAGGACTCAGAGCTCCATTTACTGGAGCCGTCAGAGTTGGACATGGCAAAGCTGAAACCAAGAGACATTAAAAAAAGATATGAATAGGATAAATTTTGTAACCATATTAGTACCATGTCAAAGCCAAATCTGGTATTCGACATTATGCGTGTGCGTGTGACATTCGACATCTATAGGACCCTAGGTACGTACGTCTGCATGTTGGAACAGGTTCGCTCCATGTTTGGTCCACCTGGCACGTTGTACTGGAGGCACCGTCTAGTCTGTAACCCTGGTCACAGGTGAACGTCACCACGTCCTGGTAGGAGTTCGCTCCGGTTGGACTAAGAGCTCCGTTGGGTATTGGTGTTAGTGTCGGACATTCTTGAGCTAGTGGAAAGATAGTACACCTCTAGTTTTGAAGCATTTCGATATCTATATTTGTTCTTAAAATCAACCAACAATATCCAACAATAGTGATAACTGTTTGTCGTATTTTTATCGATCATTACAATGCTTAAACCTTACCATGTGGTACAAAATATATATCTAGAAAAAGGGATCTAAAGGATGATTTGGTACAAATTGTTTTCTAGCATCAATTTGAAACACATCTTACGTTGGCAGCCTGGAACAGGTGCACTCCATGTTTGGTCCGCCTGGCACGTCACACTAGAGGCTCCGTTCAGTCCGTATCCCTGGTTACAGGTGAACGTCACCACGTCCTGGTAGGAGTTCGCTCCGGCAGGACTCAGAGCTCCATTTTGGGGGGCCGATAGAGTTGGACATGCCAACGCTAAAACAAAAATTATCGTAAAGAAGCTGGCTAGAACACAGAAGTAACCAGTATGTTAGTTCAGTGTTGACAATCAAAACAACTATTGGACGTTTTGAATGCATTGTGTTCAAAGACAAAACCTTTTCTGAAAGCCTATGCACGGACCTCTACAAGTTGGAACAGGTGCACTCCATGTTTGGTCCGCCTGGCACGTCACACTAGAGGCTCCGTTCAGTCCGTATCCCTGATCACAGGTGAACGTCACCACGTCCTGGTAGGAGTTCGCTCCGGCAGGACTCAGAGCTCCATTTACTGGGGCCGTCAGAGTTGGACATGTCAACCCTACAACCAAGAAACATTTTCAAAAGGCTATCAAAAATACAATGTAAT